AAACCCCCAAAACCCTAAACCTTTAAATCCCTAAACCTTTAAATCCCTAAACCCTAAAACCCCAAAAACCCCGAAAGGTGGGCTCGGGCGACTTGCCGCCGACCCGCGCCTTCGAGCTGCTGGGTCCCCACAGGGCCGAGGTCAGCTTTTGGGAGGGTTGGAGGGGTGTGGAAGGCTTAGGGTTTAGGGTTTGGGGTTTAGGGTTTAGGGTTTAGGGTCGAGGGTTTAGGGTTTAGGGTTTAGGGTTTGGGGTTTCGAGTTTAGGGTTTAGGGCTTAGGGGAATTTGGGGTTTAGAGTTTGGTGTGTAAGGCTTAGGGGAATTTGGGGTTTAGGGTTCAGGGTTGGAGGGGTGTAGGGCCTTTGGGGAATTGCGGTTTAGAGTTTAGGGTTTAGGGTTGGAGCGTGTGGAAGAGGGTTTTGAGGGTTTTTAGGGTTTAGAGTTTAAGGGATGAAACTGCTGGCTTGTACCTGTTCGAGATGTTCGTTTATATAGTTTCAGGGCTAGTTCGTTTTCCTTTCTGCATGCTTTCGACACGTGCGTGTATGTACGCTACTCGGCTCTTTGTGTGGATATCTGTGTTTTAAAACAGGGCTCGTGTCTTAAAGCATGCGTTCGGAACCAAAAATACCAAAAAAACAAAAAATACAAAAAACACACACAAAAATACCAAACAAAAACAAGAATACCCAAAACACAAAAAAACAAAGATTTCCACACTACTCCAAAGTCTGCGCTAGTGTGGAAATCCTTGGTTTTGTTGGTTTTCTTGGTTTTTTTGATTCCTGTCCTCTGCTCTTCCGTCCGCCCCATCTTCGCTGTGAAATCTCCTTATGGCGCGTCCCTGTGCAGCCGCATGCCTCGACGAAGCTGCTGGTCTTTACCTGTTCGAGATGTCGTTTACATAGCTTCCGGACTAGTATGGGGACTCGTTTTTTCTGCAAGTAGTCCTTTCTGCGTGCTTTCGACACGCCTTGTATGTACTGGGCTCCTCGTGTCGACGTCTGAGTTTTAAAACACAGCTTGTGCTTTAAAACATGCAGTCGTAACTAAAACCAAAAAACGATCCAACAAATCAAAGAAAAACAAAGATTTCCACACTACTGTACTCCGGAGTCTGGACTAGAGTGGAAATCTGTTGTTTTTCGTATTTTTGTTGTTTTTGGTTTGTTTGGTTCCGGTCCTCTGCTCTTCCATCCGCCCCATCGTCGCTGTGAAAACTTCATGCTGCCGCGTCTGTTTTAAAACACTTCGTCTCTGTTGCACAGGACATCTGATAATCCTGCTGCTGTGAAGCCGGGATGTCCAACTCGACTCTTAGATTTTTGCCTTATTATCTCATCGAACAATGTAGTACAACTGCTGGAAAAGAATTTCATGTGCCCCGCACATGATGAAGGATAGCTACTGGGGGAACCTCACGCACGTTGGAACCCGTTGCGAAGATCCAAAACTATCTGACTTACATCAAAGAAACATTCAAAGCATCTTTGCTTTTTAACATTTGATTCTCGAGTCTGACGGTCTGACTAGTCCGGATGTCTTTTTGTGTTCTTGTGCTTAACAGTTGAAACACAAGTTTCCCTATACAGGAATAGAAAACACGTTACGTTGGAACATTTGAAAATGGGTCATGGAAAGACAAAGCATGTGGTTTGTCAAGACTACTGAAATTTTGTCTTGGGAAAACGGAACATCGGAAATTGCAAGGGGGGTATTCAAAACTGGAAACTAACGCCATTGGCTAAGTTCATAAACACACATCCAAGACGTAGCGTGAGTGTAACCGCTCAAACTCAGAAGAGGCATCCCTTTCAAGAGTAGCAACATGGGAAATTGGACGATGGAAACGAAGCATATTCCATACTACATATTAAAGATTTCCTGCTATATCGGACAACTGTCAAATAGGAAAACAAACAGCTAACAAATGGAAAGCTGGAAAACAAATTTAATCCCGAGCTGTTAACATCCAAGACTTCGTCCAATTGCAATGCAATTAAACCCTTACCCCTAGACGCCAGGGCGTGAAGCTTCCTGTTAGTTTGGTTTCTCAATTGGTAACCATTAACATCTAACACTTATACTGGATTCAACCTAACACTGTATCTCTCCAGCTTTAGTCAGAAGCTTATGTTCACGGGCCTTTTGGCTTAACAAGTGCTGTGCCAGTTGTGCTAGAGTATAATACACTATACTATGCTATGCTATACTGTTCTACACTATGTTACACAATATTGTACGAGGCTAGACTAGACGACTCTACTCCACTCTACTATACTATACTTGTCTGTATGTCTTTCTATATATGTAGGTAAATGAGCATACACACCACAGTATTCTCTATCGTACCATACTCTACTATACTATACCTTGCCAAACTGTGCTAGACTATATTTTACTAGTCAATACTATACTGTACTACACCATTTGATACTAGACTATACTATATTATACTATAATTACGCTTACTATTCGTATTCCCAGTCCTATTCCTATTCCTATTATCATTGCTATATTGCTATTACTAGTATTATGGGTGTTACTATTACTATTATCGTTTGTTGTACTATACTATACTCTACTATACAAATGCTTCTCTGTCTGAACAAGTGTGCAGCGCAAGGGTTGAACACACAAAAATCATCCCACACAACAGTCCCCTCTCCTTTCTGCTCAAAGAATTAGCAATTTTATGTTTTAGCATGTGGTACGTCCTCGGAGGACCTAGCACCGTCTGAAGAAGACTACTTTTTGGGTGGGTTCCTTATTATAGATATAGTATAATGCACCCCAAAACCCTATTCTAATTATGAAGGCCCCTATAGTAGGGGAATTTCGGGTGTGGGGTTGAGGGTTGACGGTGGGGGATTAAGGATGTAGGGTATTTAGGGTGCAGGTTTTTGGGTTTAGTTTAGGGCTTGAGGCTTTGGGGCTTAAAATTTTTTTGGGGGGGGTTTGGGGAATTGGGGATGTACGGTATACGGTTTAGAGTTTAGGATTTAGGGCGCAGCGCTTTTGGGGTTTAGGGTTTCTTGGATCCCTCCCCATTCGACCCCAAAAACCCAGGTTTAGGGTGTAAGGGTTTAGGGTTTAGGGTGTAAGGGTTTAAGGGTTTAGGATGTAGGGTTTAGGGTTTACGGGTTTAGGGTGTAGGGTTTAGGGTTTAAGGGTTTACGGTTTAAGGCTTAAGGGTTTAGGGTTTAGGGTTTAGCAACGCCGTAACCTTAAAGCCACCGACGCTTCCAAACCCAAAACGCGAACCTCTGATAGAAGCCCCGATAGACCCCTTAAAGGTTTAGGGTTTATAGGGTTATAGGGTTTAGAGTTTACGGTTTAGGGTTTCAGGTTTTGGTGCAGGATTCACGTTATTGGAGGCCTAAACACGTATTATTTCAGATCAGCTAGCCCTGTCTTAATTGGGGTTTCGGGCTTAGGGTTAATTTTGGGGCCTTAATGCTTACCTACATTTTTTGTAGGTTCCTTATTGTAATTATAGTATAAAGGGCCCCAAAACCCTATTCTGATTTGCAAGGCCCCAACATTCAAGCAAGCCTAAACCCTAAACCCTAAACCCTAAACCCCGAACCCTAAACCTTGAACCCTAAGCCCCAAGCCCTAAGCCCTAAACCCTAAACCCTAAACCCTAAACCCTAAACCCTAGCCCGGTGTCGGCCAGGACCTGCCCCAGCTGCGGCCACCCAAGGCGCCAGCCCAGGGGCTCTGGCTGGAGCGGGTCGCAGCTTCGTCTGCCAGAGTTTGGGTTTAGGGTTTAGGGTTTAGGGTTTAGGGTTTAGGGTTTAGGGTTTAGGGTTTAGGGTTTAGGGTTTAGGGTTTAGGGTAGGGTTTAGGGTTTAGGAGGATTTCTGGCTTAGGGACTGAGGGGAGTTAGGAGACCCTAAACCCTATGGACCCCAGAAAAACCCTAAACCCTGGAGAGTGTTGAGGATTTTTCGGGGTTGAGGGTTCAGGATTTAGGGGTGTTCGTGCTTAGTTAGGGTTTCTTCTGGGTTCGAACGGAAGGCTGATGTAAATCCTGCGTTGCCCATCATGAGGACCAGACCATAATTCCTACAGTTTAGGGTCCTTAAGGTATGTTTAGGGCCCTTAAGGTAACGCAAGATTTATATCATCAACCGTATGAGCCCTCTTGGAAGTCTTCTTCTGAGATTTTCTGAAGAGCCTTTTGGAGGTGCGACAATGTCCGGCCCAAGGTTCCGAGGAAAGGTTTTTCCAATTCTGGGGGTTTAGGGTTTAGGGTTTAGGGTTTAGGGGTTTAGGGTTTAGGGTTTAGGATGTTTCAGGAGTCTACTCATGGGGCTTATAAACCCTCAGCCCTAAATCCTAAACCCTAAACCCTGGGGCTCTTTGGGATGCTTCGGCGGATGAAAAAGGAGCGCTTATAAAAAAAAGCCTGAACCCTAATGGGTAGCTCTCTAAATTAAAGTTCCTTTTAGGGCACTTTTTATAAGGGTACCGTACTAAGTACTATATTGGGGATCTAAAAAGGGACCCTAATTTAGAGAGCTACCCTGATGTTCGGGTTCCCTGTGTCTGAAGTTCTGATGGGCTCAGCTTCAACATTAACCCCCCGGCGCCCCAACCTGCAGTTCTACGATTTCAGCCCTGAGGCCCCACAACATGGTGTCGAAACCTCAAAGCAAAAAGCAGCAAAAATATGGGGGTTTTCGGAAAATAGGGGGGACCCCATAAAATACCCTAAATAGTAGGATCCTTATTGTAAGGACCCCAAAATCAGGTGCCCTAAATTCGTACCCCAAATAGTAGGATCCTTGTTATAAGGACCCCCAAAATCAGGTATACCCTGATGGTCGGAAACTCCCAAAATCCGAGTCCCTAAACCCCAAACCCTAAACCCCTAAACCCCTAAACCCTAAACCCTAAACCCTAAAACCCTAAACCCCTAAACCCTAAACCCTAAACCGCGCCCAGGATCTGGAGGATGCTGAGCCCGATGCAACTTCTGCGGAGACTGCAACAGACAAGAAAAGGATCGCTTCGAGTGGTTGGGTGGTGGAAACTGAAGGCTGAGGGCTTCCTGGGTGTAGAGGATTGTGTACTTAAAGGATCAAGGGACTTAGTAAGCAGGGTTATAATTAAGGTATAACTATTCTTATATTTACTTATAACCCCAATTAAGGGACTTATAACCTTACTTCCTAAGTCCCATGTTCGAGTGGTTGGGTGGAGGAAGCTGAAGGCTCAGGGCTTCCTGGGTGTATAGGATTGTGTAGGTCTGGAGGGTTTCGGATTTTCGAGTTTAGGGCTTTTTTGGAGCTTTGTGAGTTTGGGGTTTGGAGCGGATCTGACGACGCTGCAGGTTTTCGGGCTGGTAGGAATTGGGGGTTCCCAGCCGGGCGATTCGGGTCTCACCGGTGGACCCCTCGTCCAAAGCTCCTTGCTACAAGGGTTCAGGTTTTAGGGTTTAGGGTTTAGGGTTTAGCTCCTGGGGGCGGGCTTCATGGTACGTCACATCACCCTGTACTGTGACAGATTACTAGTCTTGCTGTAGTTCTTCTCAGCCATGGCTATTCTCTTTCTACCCAAGCTCAGTTGTGGAGTTGCGGCACATAATTCCGTTTGAGATTGGAGGTCTTACTACTCAGGGTTTAGATCAGCATTCTTCCAAACCCTAAACCCTAAAC